ACACATATATATATATATATATATATATATATATATATATACCCAAGTATAGGATTGGTGTTTTATAACATAATTATGTTATAACTTTCGAATAAATAATTATATATATATATATATATATATATATATATATATATATATATATATATATATATGTATGTATGTATAAAACAAGAAGGCCAGTTTAGATGATACAAAACCGAAAATAATAAACCTATCTACGTATATACTTACAAATGACGAAATCCGCTTATTAAACTTAGGCCTATAATTCTGCCCTGCTACAAAAAGCAATATAACAGACCTAAAAAAATCCTTAGAGAATTTGAACGCAAACTCAGAAGAAAAGAAACATTTAATAATAAAGAAATACATTACTGATGAATCATTAGTAAAAAAAAAATCCAATTTCTTCCCAAACAGAAACAATAATACAAATGAGCTGGACATATTTTTTGAAAAACTCTAGACATTGATCTACAAAAAAAAAAAAAAATCAAAAAAAAAATCCAAACCATTCAACAACCTCACATGTCAAGACAAGCCTTAAAGAGCATCCGTAAAAATAACAACATAATTATAAAGGAAACAGATAAAGAAAGCGCTATAGTGATCATGAACAAAATATACTATAAAACAAAATTTCTAGCGGCACTAGGAGATTTGAACAACTAAAAATTAATTGATACCAACATAGACAAAAATATTATAGAAAAAATTACAAAACTCTGCGCAACATATAATAAGATATTAACAAAAAAGAAAAGGATTTCCTAATAAACTTTGTACCAAAAACAAGCAATTTCTATGGACTACCAAAAATTCACAAATCGAGTGGCATAAAAGCAGTTATCCAGACACAAAAATCTGAAGACATTAGCATTCCAAACCCCAGTGACTTTATATTCAGACCCATAGTAGCAGGACCAACCTGCTCAACTAGCAAACTCAGTAACTTAATAGACAATATTACAACCATTTACTAAGCAGATTAAAAGCTACATCAGAGATAATATCCACTTCCTTAACTCCATACCACAAAAAGTTGACCTGGGAACACTTATGGCAACTTTTGACATCAGCAGTCTATATAGCAACATACCCCATGAATTAGGTAAACAGGCAATCTCATTCTGGATTGAAAAACATCAAGAAACACTACATCTCAGGTTAATTAAGGAATTCACTATTGATAGTATAGACCTAATTCTAAACAGTAACACTTTTGAATTTAACATCAAAAACTGTATCCAAACCCTAGGTACCACAATGGGAATGAAAATGGCACCTACATATGCCACCCTAACATTAGCTTACCTAGAGGAAAACCTGTAAGAAGCAGATAGAACAAATATATTGGGAAAATATAAAAACCCACTTCACTAAATCGTTGAAACGATACCTAGATGATTGCTTCATTTTCTGGAAATCCTCATAGGGCGATATTAACCAATTCCAAACTCTACGTCAGAACTTACACTCAAAAATCAAATTCGCCCAAGAATATAATTTTAACGAATTACCATTTTTAGATATATTTATCAGAAATAGAAGCAAACACCATAATCAGAGATATCTACCACAAGCCTAAAGACACCCATCAATACCTTCATTTCAAGAGACATCACCCAAAAAGGTGTCTAAAACCCGTCTCCTATTCCCTAACACGTAGAATTTGCACTATAGTGACCGTCAAACACCCTAGAAAAACACACCTAGAACTATATAGAAAGGTTTGGAACTAGCAGAAAGAAAAACACCTCTAGACCAACTACGAAATTCAAAAAAAAAAAAAAAACATAATGTCGAACAAACCCTATCATATGTCTCAACATACAATAAAAACAACTCAGAACTATTTACAGAAATTACAAGAAATCTTGACTTACTTAACAATAATGAGAAAATGAAAAACGTACTTAAAACAACCAAAATAATTAAAAGCAAACGCCAATCTAAAAACCTGAAAAATGTATTAACCTCATCCCAATTTAACAGTCACAATATACAGGATGTCACAAAATGCAACAAAAAAGATGTAGGATTTTTTATGTCAATTGAAAAGGGAACTCTACAATGTTGAAAACCGCACAACTCCATTCACAATAAATAAAAATTTAAACTGCAACTCCAAAAATGTGATCTATGCACTCAAATGCATAAAATGCAAGAAGTCATATACAGCCAAGTACTTACCCGACAACAGAAAACACTTTGTATCACAACACATATACAAATGCAATCAAGGCAAATTTAAAATGATGCCAATATACCAGACAATTACTCTTTAAATTCAGGAAAAAAACTTCATAAACAAATTTAAACCAGCCCGACTAGATCATAACCCCACACACCACACAGCATGCACACAGGATGGCCAGATACAGTGGTCGGACTTCACACATACATACGCATACGCACGTGCAAACAGGTATCCATGGAGAACAAAAATATATATATACACGCACTGGCAAAAACAGATAGACGACTCACGGACACA